GGGGGGGGGGGCAGGGACGGGGACACGCTCTATACGGGGAACACGTGTCTGATGCGTGACACCCGCCTGCCTCCGCAGGCTGGCACCCGCACCGGGGCTACTGAAACACCGTGGCTAACGCAACGCCGACACACACACGCACAGCTACTGCTACACACCGACACATCTACAATGCTGATGGCTGGCCGTCAGGGAGGTGCCTCGAGGGGACCCCGAGGCCACCCGGGACGGGGCTGGGGGACACCGAGCATCCCTGCGAAGGGCCCAGGGACGCACCTCTCCCTGCGCCACGGTGCCTGTCCCCACGGCTGAGCCGGAGCCACCGGCATCTCTGGCAGCGGGACCGGGCCTGTCCCCCTCTCCGAGCCACCCTGGGGGGCTGCCAGAGCCCCGGGAGGGGCGAGGAGGGGGATGCCCTTCCCCTGGTCACAGCTCCTGCCGGCCCCACGGCAATGGGCAGGCACGGGGCAGCCTGTGACTGGAGGAACCGGCAGCCCTAAAACAGGGAGGCAGAGCCCCGGGGAGCGGGTGCCCCTCTGCCCCCGGCACCCCCACCGCCCAGGACGGGTCAGAAGGGCTCCCACACACCCGGACCCCCCCGCCCGGGAATCGGGGCCGTGGGGGGACCTCAGAGGCTGCTTCAAGCAGCGGTCCCCGCCGAGCCCAGCACAGCTCCTCCGGGTGCTGCCAGCTCCCCGCCACGGCCACGTCCCCAAGGCTGGCAGCTCAGGGTGACCGGGGTCCCCACCGGCACCCCACACAGCACAGCTGTACCCGAGCACAGCCCCTGCCCCACAAACGCAGCCTGCGGCGGCCGCCGAGCCGGCGCTGCAGCCACGTGCTCCCCGGCAGCGGGAGGAGGCAGCTCATTGCAGGGAAGGAGCCATTAGGAAAAGCAAAGAAAAACCCAGCTGGAAGAGTCGCTGCGGCAGGACCTTCCCTGCCGGGAAGCTCCTTGGCAGCGATTTGCCAGGATGCCCCTGCTCTTGGCACGGTGGAACGCCGCGCCAGAGCATCGCCCACACCCCGCACGCCCACCAGCGTCGGCTCTGGCTGCCCTCGGCCCCGTTTGGGTGGTTGCTTAAGGCAGATTTCCCGCAACATCCCTCGCCAGCCACCCTGCCCTGCCCGCTCCCTGCCACCCCGGCAGCATCGCTCACCGCGGCCGGGCACGCTGGGACCCGGCTCCACCGGCCAAGGCGAGCCAGCCCAGAGCGGGTCCTGCGTGGGCACCGCGTCCAAGGCTCAAATGGGGGCTGGCTGCTTTGGGAAGGGCTCGTCCCCACTGGGGTTCGGGGTGCCTACGGGCAGGGGCTCCCCCCGCGGCACAACCTCCTCCGCAGAACCGCCTGGCGAGAGGGACAACACAGCCTCCCGCGTCCACGTGCGGATCACGTGCGCGCAACTTCGCTCTTCCCAAAGCGAGCGGCGGGGAGCGCGCGCCACGGGGAAAGAGCCGGTCCTGTGGGACACCGAACCCCCGAAGCCAGAGACACCCCCCCCCCAAAACGAGGTGTCGGGCAGGGAGGGCTCCGCATGGCTCTGCCACCCCCGGACACGGCGCAGCCGGGGATCCCTCCCCAAGGGCTGCAACAAGGAAGAGGAGAAAATTGAAGCCGTACTTTAAATGCGGTCAAAAAGCAAAAGGAATCGGCCATTCCCTGAGGAATGGGGAGGGCGGGATGGGCACCGAGAGCCGAGGGCGGCACGGGTGCTCCCATTGCCCGCAGAGCGGGAGGGAACACGGGGCAGCCGCCGGCGGGGATGGCAGCGACTGGGAGCAGCCATGGCCGGCAGCACCGCGGCGGCCGGAGCCGCAGGGGGAAGGGGCCGGGCGCTGACAATGAAAAACCCGGTTAGATGCTCGCATTTCACGGGCAAATAACCGCGGCGGCCAGCCACGCGTCCGGCAGTCGCGAGGCGAGAGCCAGACAGACGGACAGATGAGGAGTGGGTGTGTGCCGGGGGGGTGGGGTGAGCAGGGAGCTCTGCCTTCCAGCGCCTTCAAGGTAAAATACCTGATTCCTGCATGTAAACAGCTGGTTTCGGTTCTTTTTATGTTTTTTTTTCCTGGGGTTTGTTGGGGGGGGGGTTGTGGTATTTTTTTTTGATACGACCTGATTGTGGGGGGGGAGGGAAAAAAAAAAAAAAAAAAAGAGCATTACCTGCAGAGCGCGGGACTCAGTAGGTAAAGACCAAGTCCGAGATGCTGGACATGAGCCAGTCCCCCGCTATCATCTCCGTCACCTCAGGCGTGCAATAGTCCGGGAACTCGAAGTGCGAGGAGCCTCCCCGCGGGAAGAGGTCGTGGTCCTTGTCGAAGACGGACCAGTCCAGGGTGCCGCAGGCGGCACTGGTGGGGGCCCGCCCGGGCAGGACCCCCAGCAGCTCTTCCTCCAGCTCCTCATCGGAGGAGCTGAAGGAGGAGGGAGGGGACCCGGCCGACATGGGAGAGGGGGACCCGCTCTCCGGGGACCTCCCCGCATCGGGGCAGGCGGCGGCGGGGCTCGGG